CGTTTTTCGTGTCTCCGCTGAGGTGAACACTTCAAATTTAGTATAAAATGCGTCACTAGTGAATTTTGCCAGAACTTCTAATATTTTTCGTATATAACCAAAAATCCCTCTTATTTTAATATGATTTATTTTAATATGATTACAAAATAATAAAAAGCAATGTTGATCAGTTGGATTGAGGAAGTTAAGTAATAATGCATTAATTGATATCAATATATCTTAATTGAAATTTAAAATTTCTAATTTTCAATTTTATTTTAAAATTTATTAGAGGATAGATATATAATATATAATTATATACACAGAATATACAAAAATTACCTACTAATTTATTATTAATAATAGATTTTTGAATTAATTTAGAGTCAACAATTAAGACAACAATTAAAACAATTTAAACGATTAAAAAAAACTTTGTTTAATTTAATTTGTCCAAAAATCTCAAATTATAAAAGAAATGAATAATAAACATCTTTTTTTTTTAAATGAAGTAAGAATATTAATTAAAAATAAATGTAGTTTTTGTTGTATTTTTATTTATTTATTTTTAATTACTAATTTAAAATTTTTTTAGATTATCAACATAACAATTATGTATTTAAATTGGCATATTTGGCCATCGAGATTTGCAATTATTTTTTAATTTATTGTATCAGTTCAGCGAATCATAAAATTTGGTTCACCCGTTGATTAAAATATTATGTTTTAATTCTCGCTGAGCAAAATCGCATAATTTTGTTTATTACCATCAATTGAAATTCTATTTTCCATTAATGAAATTGTATTGCAACATTATGAATTATCGCAACTTGAAACAAAACAAATCTTATTATGCGTCCCCATATATATTATTGCGTGATTACGGGGCTAATTATGATCATGCATATTTCATAATTCGAATCTCATATCAAAACAGACCTAGTCGAAATTCATAACAATCTAATTGGAAAAGATAACAATACATATATTGCTATATTTATTTTTGTTACAATATAAATCATTTCAAAAGTATTATATGCGTTAATATTACATACAATACATTATTATATCACTGTAATGATATTTTAATATATAAGTGTATAAGTATATAAGTATATAAGTATTATTTAAATGTCGTGAATATAATTATCGACAAGTACAGGTTGTGAATTACTGATTTAACGTATGGTAATCTACTGTATATTATAAAACGTTAAAGAGTAAAATGCAAAAAATTGCAACGTTTTAATGCAATATAATATTTTAAATTTTTGCAGAGCATTTTAAATTCACATATTCACCCAAAAAACGAAGAATTTAAAAGTATCGGCTGCGCAAGAACTTGGTTTTATAACCAAGTAGGTACATGTTCCCCTTTGAAGTAACAAATTACTTTATAAAGTATTTAGCGCGAAAAAGTTTCTCAGAACTTCGTTATGGTAAAAAAAGGATAAGGAAGAGGGAATATAGAAAAAAATCATGATAAAAAATTTGTTTTTATTTTTTTCTAAGTTTGTTGAACTTTTATCTGAAGAAAATGTACACTATTATTTTGAATAAATTTTGATAATTGGTCTATTAAGCAAATTTAACATAACATTTTTTTAAATAATAAAATTATTGTATAACTATTATTTATATATAATTAATTAAGCAAATACAACAGTTGCCTAATTGTTGAGTAGTCATTGACTACAGTTGATGTATATCATTTAACTTTTTGGTGCACTTTATACTGTTTTGTCACGAATTTACAATACTATACTGAGTATTATGAAAAATATCGCATAAAAATGAACACATTATGACAAAGTTCTTTTTAAATCGAAACGCTAGACATTGAGGAATATAATTTATGTATAACAATAACAAGCAAATATATATATATATATTTGCTTGTTATTGTTATACATATATATATATATATATCTTTATTAATAAAAACATTATAACATGTATATAAAGCAAATTAAATCTCGGGTATGTTATATTAAGAATGGTACCGAAAGTCTAATCTATCAGAATAGATCTGTTTTTGAAAAATTGAGTTCTAATTTTTCATCAAACATAAACTGTTACGTAGATTCGAAAGATAAATTATATACAACACATAAACTTTTATCATTAATTTAATTTCCATGATATATGAAAATACTACCGAATATCGACGATGACGAACGTGACCGTGTTTTTAACACAGCCGTTGAAATTGTCGGGCTTTGCGGCGCGTTAATTACGTGGACATGGCCGCGCGTTGTAGCGAGAATTCCGTTTAATATGTTGTTTAACCTCGGCCGTGTTACCGGCTCGGTTCGGGCGCGTTCCTTTTTTTTACAATATTATTCAAGACAACATACTGTCTCTAAAGCACATGTATCATCCACAATACTCAGGTCTTTCGGAGGTTATAGAGAAAGTATCGATATACCCATTTTATTTTCCATCTCATGTAAACCATTATCCGGCTTTAGAAATAAGAAGTACATTGTGGAAGTAAGGGGTGAGTAGTTGGGGCAACTCTGCATCTTTACACTGTGAACCCGCCGCCGGTATCCTTATATAAATCGCGCGAGAACGCGCGGTTTCCTTTCACGCGGATAAAAAAAAACCGCAAGAGAATCTCGCCCTTTCCCGCGCAGATTCGTGCGGTGTAGGAGGATGGAGGAAGAGATTCACGGTTCGATGGGCCGAATCATCCACTTTGCGAGTAGCGAACTCTTGGAGGACGCCGGTAATGTTTGAACAGAGTCCGCGAGCTGACGAGCGGAAGTTCGATGCGCCGTCAGCGCGCTCGTGCCCCCGTCTAAAATAAAAACTCGCTTCTTCCTCGTCCTCGCATTCGCCTACATCCCTTCAGCTGCCGACAACTTGAACAAATTATCTGCCCCCGTACGCTCGCGGCAAAAAGGAATTTTCAAGCGGAATAAGAATCGAGAACTCGTGAGAGCGATATCATCGTCTGATTTGCGATTCCGCAAATGTAATTGTTCGATGGATTCTTCGCGATTCTTTTTCACGGAAATATTCTGGGAAAAGTTGAGGCTGCCGAGTATGTCGTCGCCGTGAAGAAATGACGGGATATTATGGCCGACATCAATTTTCTCAGGTCCTTTGAGTGACGGAATATTGCGAACTTCAGAGATAAACTTTGAGCGGGATGATGTAAATTTAACGACTAAAATTAAGTACGAGGATGAAATTATTGAGACACGATAAAGCTATTATGGTACAGATTTAATTTTAAAAACACGATTTTAAACGAAGAATATATTATAGATAAACTAAAATTCGAAACTAAAATATGAAATTACAAAACTAAAGTTTATATTTATAATTAAAGTAATTTGAAGAGATATTATATTACCACTTTTACAACTCTGTAGAACTTGTTATAGAGCATTCGCGATTATTTCAATATATGACAAATTTGTTATAAATATTTCATAAGAACGTTATTTTAAGATTAGTTACATTGATCTTTCCGAAATCAATTTTATCGATTAATTCGAAACGCAAAGTGTTTCTATGTTTCTGAAAGTAGCTCTACTCTTTCTTTATTTCCTCGCCAAAGTGAATGAAAACGGTTCCGCCTTCGCAATCTTTTCGATGATGACGTCTCATGCCTTTGAGATCTAGGTGCGGGATCTTCGCTGTTTTCTTTACTTCTCCACTTCCTATCTTTACTTTCGAGGTTTCGAGAGGTATCAACCGGCACTCGAAATATTAAGGAATTCTTGAATACGAAACTGCGCTATCAACGTGCATTTTATTTAAAGAGGAGAGAGAATATCTTTCAAACATTCATGTTTAAATATAGAGTGATCTAAAAGTACTACATCTAAAAATGTTAAGAAAAAGAATTAAAAGATTGTAGCTAATTTTGGAGATGATAGAATGAAATACACAGAAAAAGTTCCCGATGCTTGTCCAGGTAGCACAACTGATCTATTTAAATTTAAAAAGTATTTACTTTCTTAAGTTCTTTATGAATTAACGTAATCTGTTCGAATTAAACTTAAAAAGAAATAAAAAGTATATGCAAATGTATTTATATATTTATATACATATTTTTATATATATGTTACTTTTAATAAAAATCAAATTATGATTTTTATTCTTACACAAAATAATTAAGAAATAGAAAAATACTAGAAAAAGAATATCTTTTGAATTTGAAAAAAATTTCACAATTGGTGATAAAAAATTTCTTTAGATTCCCTCAGAAATATTTTCAGTAATAGAACAAAACAGAAATTTATTTAGTAAGTTGAAAATAAAATAGAATTCGTTTTAAACTTTCTGTGCTATCTGGATACATTTAATGCTAAATTACTAGTTTTTATATAAGAAATCTACAAAAGAAATATGAAGCGTGTAATATAATCGGAAATTTGTTTCTGGGAGTTAATAATTCTCTCTCTTCTTCTTCTCTCGCTCCTGATGTTCGATATATAGTGCAGTCATAAGGGCTATACGGAATGTCGTGTAGTCTCCGCTCGGTGTAAATTACGGCCGGCCTGTAACCGGGAAACTCGATGTAATTTCCCGACGGTGACGATTAGACGCGCGAAACATAGAACGCAAATTCTCCCAGAAGGGGTAGCAACGTGACAAATCCCAAATATTTGGTGGAATATGCGCGAGGACACGACGCGAATACGAAAATGCTCGAAAAACGGATAAATTAATATGTAATATGTCCTCTCTCCTCGATCAACAATTTCATGCTAGAGTGATATTTTATTATTGAATATAAGGGGATATAATATTTTATTATTGAATATGTACATATAGTTATTTTTTAAAAAGATAATATATTAATACATGAAACAGTAGAGCAAGAAAATTGAAAATCCCAGAAAATCCCAGAAAATTGATGTCGATATATGTGATTAATAATTAATTGCCCACGTGCTGCTCAACTTATCTCAAGTTTAATTTACCGGTGGATTAATGGCCGAATTAATTACGGAATAGAGGGTAACGCTGTTTTTTCATCCTCGTCCTTCGTTTCTGTACAGATTGGATGCAGTTAACTGATCGAGGCAGCGAGCAGAACGAAATTTCCAGGATATTGAACTACGCGAAGGAAAGTGAAGCTTAACGGTGAGTACAAGAACGTTTGTTTTAAAGTCAAAGAATGAAATAAAAGGAGATACTATTTAGAATGAATCAACAGACGTAGAAGAAAAGAATTTAAAACAATTAAAAATAAAGAAAGTGTATAACTTTTAATATTATTTTTTTAGAAGATATTTAAATTATATTATTATTTACATATTTATATTATTATTTATATTACTATATTAGTGTTTTACATTATTTAATTATATAAATTTATGTACTATGCATGTATTATATTTTTATGAATATTAATTATAAAATTTTTCATAATTTTATTTTATTTTATTCTATTATTTTATATTTTATTTTATTATTTTTCATAATATTTTACTTTTAAAATTTAAACATCTTTAAAAAATAATTATCTTTAACTTATAAATAATAAAAATAAATAAAAGTAAAATAAATTAATTTTAAAGATTAGAACATTAAAAGATGAAATATATTATTAATAATAAATTATTTTCTTACTCGTATTTTAATGTATTTTAAATAAGATTTTATTTTTATAATAACGATATTTTTGCTCCATATTTATATCAATTTTATAAAAAATTTATTGTAAAATTATATTGATTATTATATAGAATGTCATTGTTATATAGAATGGTTATGTAATAGAATATTTAAATCAATTGTTACACAAGTACTTTGCAATGAATTTGATCTTTTGACGATTTTTAGTTTTTATAAAATTTCCAAGAAACAAAAACGCGAACACACGCAAATATAAAATAACGCTTAAATTAAATCAAGATCGTATTTTCCCGCATGATTCGGTTATCGTGCCAAATATATAGACTTCCGTGGGAAATTCCTTCTTGTTCCAGCTAATTGAATCCGAACAAAGATCTATAAAGCTGATGGAATTTAATCATCAGTTATAACTGTGATATAAGGATGATGTAAAGATTTTTAAATCATAATTATGTATATTTTTTTAAATCTAATTAACACACGAAAAATTATTAAACTTTTATTAAAAACTATTTTATTTATTTTTAAGATATTAAATGTTACATGTAAAGCTGTTTAGTGTAATTCCAATTAATATTTTAATAGCATTTAACAATAAATACTAATAACAATAAATACTAATTTTTAAAACAAAGAAAAAAGTAATGTGAGAAATAGACCGTTAATACCAAAAAAGTTAAGATTTACGGAGATTTTATATATATATACTCACTTGCATGTGCGCAAGCGATACATATTTTACGATACTTAACGTTGTGCCCGCATGCGGATGTCGGATAGTCTTGGTTTTGTTTACACACGACGTCTTAAGGCGAGAGATTGGAAGGAGCTGTTTGTCTAACTAACACAACTTCCGTATGATAAGTTGGTAACTATACTTGAACGTATAAACAGCTCGCTAAGTAAAATAATTCTGTCGACATGTACTCAGTAGACACTATTGATATGCTTTTTTTTCAAATTCAAAATGTTCAATTAATCTGTTTCATATCGTATATTATATACAATCTACTATGATATAATAAAATGGATGTATCGAATGGAAACATTAAATAAATCAGTTCGAATAAATCCTCAATTAAATTAAAACTGTTTTAAAAAGTTTCTGATCAAATAAATCGAAAAATTAATCTCAGAAATAAAAATAGTTTTCAATTTTAATAATATTTAGTAATGTATTTTTGCGTAGATTCATATAATTCCTTTTCTTTCTACATAATTTAATTCTTGCAATTATTTTTTACATATAAAAATATCAAATAATAATTGTAAAATATTTAACATAATATATTTTGCATAACATATAATGTATTTTATTTTATTTTTATATACTTCATCATAGAAAATGTGTCATAAAACTATATTTTATTAGTATATCGAAAAATATTCACTGTGTGATGATTCTAATATTTTCATATATGAAGTGACATGATTAATTTTTCGATTTATGTTAGATAGTTTTTATTCCGATATTGGACAAATACTACTCAAATGATTTAATCTTTTAAATCTTAAAATCTTTTTTCACAAATATATAATGAAATGGAATATTTTCCTTTCATATTGGGCAATTTTTTAATTTATATGCATGCTGTACTGCATATCTATTTTATTTAACTGTCCACCTAGACATTGTCGACAGACATCCTTCGATATTCTTTGATGTTGCATTACCGGACAGGATTTAATCAGTCGCAAGTAATTCGGCAAAAGCGCAGAGCAAAAGGTGTCACCGCGAGCAGCGGTTTCGGCGGAAATGAAAGGCTCCCGTGCACTCTCGGTGTATATTGCAATCGTGGCGCTTTGTCGTTGCATGTGTCGTGGACATGGGAATGAAGTGGATCAGCCAAGGGTAGTCGATTTAAGAGTCGTCATTAACGCCTGAAACGTATTACAAGTGTGTTATTGACAGTGCAAAACTACAATCTCTTGCAATCGTTTATATGATTTCAACAATATAAACGACATTATTAATTACTTGATTTTAAGCGAATTGCTTAAAATTAAAACGACATAATTTTATTATCGAAAAATATTATTCTGTTAAATACATAAAATGTTCCTTCATTTAAGCAGGACATTTTAACACATAATTTATAAGTCTTTAACCTTTTGACTTTCATACTAACTTTCTAGACTTATAGTTTGCAAGTAGAGCGAGCGGTTGACTTCAAAACATTTTCTGCATAATAGCGTTTAAATGTTAAAATTATATTAAAATATAATAAACATATTAATAGTTATTAACACAATGTCGTTTACTTTTATTTTGTAACGATTCAGAATATCTTCAAAATTAACTATAATAATGAAATAAATATCATAGAGAGAGAGATTTGATATTATATACATACTCTAGTTGTTGTATAACTTGTTATTTTTGTACAATAACACACACACACACACACAATTCCGTAAATAATATAAATATTATTAAATTAATATTAATTTTTTTAATTTTTTGTAAATAAAAATTAACTCTTTAAAGTATTATAATAATAATATAATATTCCCAAGAATGGACCACCCCAAGTAAATAAAATATCTTTTTCAAAATTATATATGTTATTATATGTATTTATTTGTCACAACAAAAACTTATAATTTAAAAAAACAATTAAGAAGATGCGCAAAATTATCAAAATCTTATAGCATAATTATTCAGAAAAATCATTTTTTCCAAACGATTCGCTCCGCATGACAGTCAAAAATTATAATATAATTTTGTGAATGATTTAGTTTATTAAATAATATCTCTTTGAAAAATAGCTTTTAGAAAATGTTAAAGCATTTCTAAAGATTCCTTAAATAAACTGTAGTAACTTAAATTCGTTCTTTTTAGATATATCTCTAGAAATTATGTCTAGCAAATGTTAAGATGTTTATGCCATCTGCTGCGCACGAGGAAAAGAAATATTTATTTCTCCCCTTGGTGCGCTCTCACTACTCTTCACATTTGTGTAATTACGTGACCATGCGTAGAGTGAGAATGTGAATGAAATATGTCACGCGGTCACGCAAATGTGAACAAGTAGGTGAGCAGTGTAGAAAGAAAAATGGTAAATGATAGGGAAACAAGAGGGTAAAAAATATGGCGTTTCGTAGATGCCGAGAATAATGCGAATGCACTAATAAATTGTTGGTCAAGTTTTTGAACGTGTAACAGTTTCGCCGTGGGTATTGTTGAAGGGTGTTGCAACGGCTGGTGCCGTTGTAACGCCGTAATGGCCGCTTTAAATAGTTTAATGAATATGGAAGACAAGGTGCATCGCAGAGTTCCATTCCTGAAGTTACTCGGGCAGCAATAATATTCTCGCGATGCACGAAACACATTGTTCCCTTACCTCTAACACGATTTATGGAACGAAATAATATACTGCATGATTAGTAAACTGAACCACACATTATGTAAATAAGAGTAGAGTGCCTAAAATCAATGAATATTTTCTTTATTTGCAAATTTTTTAACTTATTTAAAGTTATCTTTTTTCGACAAACTAAGCTTTAGAAGAGAAAATAAATGGATATATTTATATTTTTATATAAATATATCCATTTATTTTGGATAGGATTATATTTTTTAGTTCGTCTAAGAAAGGGATTTTATTTTAATGGAATTTTAGAACGTTTAAATAACATTTTTATATAATTAATTGTGTTTGTATGCTTGTTTGTTTATTATCTTGTTCATTAATTAAATTTATTATTTTATTTCTTGACAAATACGTATTTAATTAAAGTAAAATATTATCTTTTTTCATTAGCAATTATTACTCTTTATGATAATAGATTTAAACACAGCATAATTATTTCAGTTCATTATATATGATACGGCGATACTATGTTCTGTTTTACGCTCCCGTTATATAAGGAAAGTACTGAACCAGTGCTCGAATATTAATAGTTCGCCGGTAGATAATAGCAGAAAAATGATAGTCGACTATTAACTTTCAGTGCACTCGCGTGCAGCCACTAATGATCATGACAGTGGTTACAATAGAGACGAGGAATAAAGATCGACTTCGACGATTGTTCAACGTCACTCGCACTTTGCAAATAATTGTCCGTCATTTAATTTGCATAGTATCGCGCTGGTAACAATTTTTCCTAACGCATTGACTCATATGCATAACAAATTATTTCCTTATTTAAAAAAAATATATACAATTTAAAAAGTTAGTAATATTTCTTATCAAGAAGAAAACATTATTTTAGTCCTACATTAATTTAACCAGTCCAATACCTGGTCCTCATTGTTTCGAAATCAGGCAGCGGCAGCAAACCGTTTGTTGTACAGTTTACACAAGGGAGTAAGGTAAGATCTATGCGCGACGAATCGATTTCTCGAGGATAAACGCCCGGGCGGGCAAATAATCGGGCGCGTTCGAGGTGTCGTTATAAGGGGACAGCCAGATGTTATCGCTCGGCGAGATGGTGGTCCGGGACGCTAGGACAATAGATACCCAGCCCGGTCGGGATTCGGCCGTTTGGATGCACTCCAGATT